AGGAGTACTTGTGGCACCTTAGAGATTAACAAATTTATTTTGCATAATAAATTTGTAGTCTCTAAGGTGCCACAAGTACTCCTCATTCTTTTTGCTGATACAGACTAACACGGCTGCTACTCTGAAATCTATCAATAGACGCTCCTCTAAGAGAGGTCTCTGTCTGATCCACGTGCTCCTCTGCAGCAATCGACTTTCCCCCATCTCTTAGTTTAAAAACTGCTCTGCAACCTTTTTAATGTTAAGTGCCAGCAGTCTAGATTCACTTTGATTTAGGTGGAGCCCATCCTTCCTGTATAGGCTCTCCCTACCCCAAAAGTTTCCCCAGTTCCTAATAAATCTAAACCCCTCCTCTCTACACCATTGTCCCATTCACGCATTGAGATTCTGAAGCTCTGCCTGACTACCTGGTCCTGCACGTGGAACTGGAAACATTTCTGAGAATGCCACCATAGAGGTCCTGGATTTCAGTCTCTTTTCTAGCTGCCTAAATTTGGCCTCCAGGACGTCTCTCCTACCCTTCCCTATGTCATTGGTACCTACATGTACCACGACCACCGGCTCCTCCCCAGCACTACACATAAGTCTATCTAGACATCTCGAGAGATCCTCAACCTTCGCACCTTGTATCCTCCTGAGAGATTGTGGTGAAACTTTCATAGAGTATCTGCAATCCACTCCCAAAGATTTCTAGGAATGGCTGCCTTGTCTCTTCCTCTGCAGCAGGATACTTTCCCACACCACTCTGCGATGAGTTTGGCTGCCACCATTGCAGTACACAGTCTAGTGCCATATAGGCCTGGGAACCTATGGGACACCAGTAGCAGCTGTGTTCTGTTGTGACAATTAGACCTACACATTTACTATAATTGTGCGCCCAACTTTACAAAGTATGTGAAAGTTCACAATATGTCACAATAACCTATAATAACAAATGGTGATGTTGAAAGGTACGAAAGGAAGAAAGACTGAACTAGTCCAACCAAAAAAGCCTACTGATATAATTCAAGGAGTATATTAAGATCATGCCTGGCGAGCAAGAAAAACATGGAACCAGAAATCAGTGATCCAAAATTGGTGTGCCGGAAACTAGGCCTAACTGGTGGACAAAATAATGTGGGGGTCCTTTTGTGGGTCCTTAAAGAAAAAGACTTTGGGAGAAAAATTGTTGTCTATTGGAGAGAGCTTCACTGACAGGCCCATCATCATCGCTGCCACCCCCATCATCTCCTGCCACCCTGGAGCTTCTTTGTCCTAATCCTCGGAGCTGTCCTGACCTGGTCGGGCCAGAGAAAGGGGCCCAGATGACACCACCACCTCCAGCGGCTCCAGCTGAATCCCAACCACCACCTGGGATCGGACTCTAACAACAGCAGCAACAACAACAGTTCCAGCCCATCTCGGCTCACTTCTTCTTTCTCCCAAAGGACAGTTCTCACCATCTGTGATACCAACTAAGGCTTGGTCTACACTTACCCCCCAATTCGAACTAAGGTACGCAACTTCAGCTACGTGAATAACGTAGCTGAAGTCGACGTACCTTAGTTCGAACTTACCTCAGTCCACACGCGGCAGGCAGGCTCCCCCGTCGACGCCACGGTACTCCTCTCGTCTAGCTGGAGTACCGCAGTCGACGGCGATCACTTCCTGGTTCGACTTATCGCGTCCAGACAAGACGCGATAAGTCGAACCCAGAACTTCGATTCCCAGCCGCCGAACTAGCGGCTGGGTGTAGACATACCCCTAAGAGACTGTCTGACGGGCTTTTTCCCTCTTCTAAAGACTCTCTCCAGCTAAAGGGAGAGGGAACAAGGGATGTTTTTAAAATGAAAGCCTGATATAATACTATACATTTCAAATGCTTTAACTTGTTTTCCCTGCCTTTCTTTATCCTTAATAAAAGATTAAAAGGATTTTTAATGGTGTATTTGCCATGGCATTAAGCAGGCTGAGGTCTCTGTATACCAAGCCCTGGCCAATGTAAACCCTGTGTAGTGTTTTGAATTTCAAAGGACTATTTTAAACAATATGCCAGACAAGAAAAAAAACTGTTGGGACAAACAAAATTAACTGGATTTCCTAGGAAATACCTGAGGGGAGGTGAGTACAAATTCCCACCCTCAGACTCAATCTTTTGAAGCTACACCCCGAGGAGAGAATCCAACTTTGGCAGAGGACATTACATCTCTCCCCCAGGAGCTCTCGCAGCCACCCCCAGTGGCTGAGCTGGGGCTTGTCACAAGTCCAGCTTCCTGTCCAGCTTTGTAACCACCACAAAGAGAAAATGGCCATCTCTCCTGAGGCAGCCTGACTTGAGCCTGAAAGGAAACAATGGGAGATGTAGGCCTTTTTACCAGGCACATGCCCAGGCCTTGGTGAAATAGGAGCCATCTTCCCTGGGGGCATAAATACTTTCAATCTCATTAGATGGCTTCAATCCTATTGTAAGTTATGGGAAATTGTGGCCATTTTGAATAAGGGCAAATTGTGAATATTGTGGCAAAGACTGGCTACAAGTATCATTAATAAATTGTCAAGTATCAGAGGGGTAGCCATGTTAGTCTGGATCTGTAAAAGCAGCAAAGAGTCCTGTGGCACCTTATAGACTAACAGACGTATTGGAGCATGAGCTTTCATGGGTGAATACCCACTTCGTCAGATGCATGTAGTGGAAATTTCCAGAGGCAGGTATAAATATGCAAGCAAAAGTGAGTCAGGCTAGAGATAACGAGGTTAGTTCAATCAAGGGGGATGAGGCCCTCTTCTAGCAGTTGAGGTGTGCTCCAACCCCTCAGACAGAGACCAACACCTACAAAATCTTCACCAAGCATTCTCAAAACTACGATACCCACATGAGGAAATAAGGAAACAGATCAACAGAGCCAGACGTGTACCCAGAAGCCTCCTACTGCAAGACAAGCCCAAGAAAGAAACCAACAGAACTCCACTGGCCATCACATATAGTTCCCAGCTAAAACCTCTCCAACGCATCATCAATGATCTACAACCCATCCTGGACAACGATCCCTCACTTTCACAGGCCTTGGGTGGCAGGCCAGTCCTCGCCTACAAACAACCCGCCAACCTGAAGCATATTCTCACCAGTAACTACACACCGCACCATAGTAACTCTAACTCAGGAACCAATCCATGCAACAAACCTCGATGCCAACTCTGCCCACATATCTACACCAGCGACACCATCACAGGACCTAACCAGATCAGCCACACCATCACTGGTTCATTCACCTGCATGTCCACCAATGTAATATACGCCATCATATGCCAACAATGCTCCTCTGCTATGTATATCGGCCAAACTGGACAGTCCCTATGTAAAAGGATAAATGGACACAAATCAGATATTAGGAATGGCAATATACAAAAACCTGTAGGAGAACACTTCAATCTCCCTGGACACACAATAACAGATGTAAAGGTAGCCATCCTACAGCAAAAAAACTTCAGGACCAGACTTCAAAGAGAAACTGCTGAGCTTCAGTTCATCTGCAAATTTGACACCATCAGCTCAGGATTAAACAAAGACTGTGAATGGCTATCCAACTACAAAAACAGTTTCTCCTCCCTTGGTGTTCACACCTCAACTGCTAGAAGAGGTCCTCATCCCACCTGATTGAACTAACCTCGTTATCTCTAGCCTGACTCACTCTTGCTTGCATATTTATACCTGCCTCTGGAAATTTCCACTACATGCATCCGACGAAGTGGGTATTCACCCACGAAAGCTCATGCTCCAATACGTCTGTTAGTCTATAAGATGCCACAGTACTCTTTGCTATTAATAAATTGGTTTAATTACAACCTAATTTCTTCAAATGCACATTTGAAACTAATTTTCCCTATATGGGAAGTTTGAAGCATAGCAAACCAGCCATTTTATAGCACAAGCAAACTGAAATTTGGGGATTTTTTTTTTAAAAGTTCCCATTTTTAATAAATTTTAACTCTTAAACTAAGTAAAAGGTTAAGCTGAAAAACTTCAGCAAATCAAATCTTTAGTTAAGATTATCTGACAAAAGTTTTGGGAAAATACATTGTATTCTTCAGAGAAAACAAAGTGGTTGACTAGAAATGGAAAAACAACTTTAAGTGAAAAATTGAACCTAAGCTTAATGTCCTTCTCATGTGTTCCAATAAAAAGTTTTACATATTGCTGAGCAGCAGCGGCTAAAGCAATTTTGTTGAAATTTAGCTTACTTTGTTAATCTCATTATGATCAAAGGAATACACTGAGTTTGAAGGAAATTTCAATGGCTCTGAAGTTATTGGCATTAAATTTTTCATGCATGCAAAAATATGACTTTCTGCTAGGTTTCTTTAGATTACATTGTTCAGTCTATACTTTTGATCAGCAGTTCTCAAACTGTGGGTTGGTATCCCAAAGTGGCTCACAACCTTGTTTTAATGGAGTTGCCAGGGCTGGTATTTAGACTTGCTGGGGCCAAAGCCCAAGCCCTGCCACCTGGAGCCGAAGCCAAAGCCCAAGTCGCACCCCCTGGGGCTGAAGCCCAAAGACTTCAGCCCTGGGGAGTGGGGCTTGGGCTTTGGCTTCAGCCCTGGGGGGGCAGGGCTCAGATTACAGGCTGAAGCCCTTGGGCTTTGGCTTTGCCCCCTCTCCCCACTCCCCCGCCTGGGACGGCGGAGCTCCAGCAGGCTCAGGCTTCAGTCCCCCCTCCTGGGGTAGTGGAGTAATGTTTGTTGTCAGAAGGAAGTCACGGTGCAATGAAGTTTGAGAATCCCTGCTTTAGATCATTGAGGTGCATATGCACAATGGACTTTGCTGTTCAGTTTCTATGCTGACTGTAAATAGCTTCGAACACTAGGGTTGTCTGACTCACTTTCGCTTAATATAAACTACTGAGGACTCAATTCTGCCATGTAGTCACCACCGAGCAGTGGAAAGGGAGTGTCCTGAAGAAAAGCTAGCAGTAAAATGCTAGATGAATCAAGTAAGTGCAAATGGAAAAAAACTGGCTTACCTTTGAAAGAGGTATCGGACACCAACTAAGAGCAGGGCATAGGGAACGATGTGCAGGAGATCTCGAGGTTTGGGGTATGAGATACTATCAGATTCCTTCATGTCCTCCCAGGTGAATCCTGGTGGGAACCAGTATTCGTGCCACCAAAACCATTTATCTAGAGACAGCACCATCCTAGATGGAACAGAAAACAGCATGAGCTACATCAGATCACACAATCACCTGCAGTGAGACGGGAGATATTACTGTATGGGAATGTAACAACTAACCATCCCTTTAAAGGAAAACAGGTGGGTGCAGTCAGCTCTTAACACACTGTTGAGTCATTAGTAGATTTTTATCAGACAGACATTTTACAGAAGGTTATTGGCTCATGCTTGAGTTGCATCACGCAAGTGCCCTGATTTTGGCAGAACCAGGCTATCATTATCATGCTGGAGCATGAGCAAAGGCGCATTGATTACAATAACCCTCACTCTCTAGAACAGCATGTCCCAAACTTTTTTGAAAGCTAAGACTACCCCAACCTCTTCAACGCCTCTGTGTTAGCAGGATAGCAAGGGGGACTTGAACTGCTGCTGTTCTGTGCTTCCCCTGCCCCCGCAACTCCCCGAGAGGCACATCCTGCTCTTTGGGACCTGTTGTTCTAGATTAGCAATTCCCAAACTTTTGCTGCCAGAGCTCTAACTAAGCAGTGGCTGGTGTCCTCTTCATCCCTTCAAGCCCCATGCCTGCATGGGTAGCTGTTCTCTCTCCTTTTCTCTGTCTAGTTGCTCGCTCCTTTTTGTTTGTTTTTTAATATCCCAAACAAAACAATGTTGTTGGCAGACAGCTCAGTCTGCTCCCCAATCAGCACAGACATCTCAGCCCTCAAATGCAGATAAATTTACAGGCAAGTAGCATTTTCAAAGGTGCAGAGGACAGTGAGGTGCCCATAGAGAGTTGCATTGCCTAAGTCTCCCTCATGCATTTACTTTGTAATGGCTCAGTAAATCAGGCCAGAAGAGGGGGAGTGGTATTTTATAATTCCTAGGTGTGTATGAGTTTAATGGAGAGCTAAACTGGGAAAATGAAGCAGGACGACTGTAGAGTCCCTCTGTGGGTGGGGTGTGGTGCCTGGGGCCAACACCCTGCAAAGCCAATCAATATATTCATCTCTGCACATTATAATTTCTACACATTTATACACCCATTCCCCAAGGTATCCAGCACTTCCTTATTAATCCCCCACACTTTCACAGTCATCCAACAGCAATAACTCTGCCTAGAAAGGTTGACGTGTGGAGGGTGTTTATTTTATTATTTTATTAATTCCTTCACATTTTTAAAATACAACTATAGGCACCAGCCAATGCTCTGGGTATCTACCCCAAGAACTAAAATCCCCAAATATAGAGGACTGCCCAGGAATATTTCACCTCAGCACATGTGCTCCTCAGCAGCCTTAGAGGAGAAAGAGAGGAAGAGGATGCAGCATTCCCAGAATGTTAACACATCCGGGTTCCAGAAGAGGCTCCAGAGCAATTACTGTAAGGCAAGTTCTCCAGACCTTGAACCCTCTTGGAGCTCTGCTCTGAATCCTTTGCCGTTTTTCCACGTTCTTTTTGAAGTGTGAACACTAGAACTGGACACAGTATTCAGGTAATGGTCTCACTAATGCCTTATACCCAAGTAATACTACCTTCCTACTCTTCTTTGCTATTCCCCTGTTTATACATTCACAAATCATGTTCACCCTCTTAGGCCATCACACTGGGAGCTCATGATCAGTTGGTTTCCACCATTCTCCCTACATCCTCTTCAGAGTCGCTACTTTCCAGGATACCGTCCCCTATCTTGTAGGTGTGATCTACATACTTTGTCCCTAGATGTATCATCTTGCATTTGGCTGTATTAAAACACATATTAATTTTTAATTCATCATCAGTAAAAAACATCCATATCTTTACATTCCTTATGCTGCCACTGGAGTTTTTAGTTTCTTAATTTTAATGAATGCTGGGCTAGTTGAAGCAGATCTCTGCAAAGGAGGATGTGACTCTTAGCAAACTGAGTATTGGGATCAGTATTCATTGTGTCCTGCAGACCTACATGAATAAAGGAAAAGCATGAGATTTTTAAACTATGCTAACCATGTCTGCAAATGAAATTGCTATATCTGACATGATTGCTGTCATGTGCAAAGTAATATCTCTCATTGTTATCGTATATCCCACTCACTTATAGGGCTGGCTGGAAAACAAGGATTAAACTTCATGAAAAATTTTGAGGGTTTGAAATTTGTTTTCATTCCACATTGGAACGAAACAGAGACCTTTCAGAGCAATGTTATTTTCTGCCAAAGATGAGAGCCAGAGGAGTCCAGGGTTCTCATGTGGAATATGGGAGACCCGGAGTCAAGTCCTTGCTCTGCTGGAGATGGAGGAGGAACTTTAAGTGGGGTCTCCCTACATCCTGGGGGAGTGTCCTACCCACCAGGATGTAGAATTTCTCTTAATCACTCCTGCTGGAGCTTTTTCATTCTGGGTAAATTATTAAACATTCACTGGGCCAGAAAGAGAGAGAGACTGCAGCCAGCTGGCTAGGGCCCTCACCTGGGACAGGGACTTTAAAGCCTTGCTCCTGAAGAGCTGGGAGGTGAAGCTCACAGGTGAGGGCCCTAACCAGCTGGCTAGTCTGAGGTGTGCACACTCCCTTTCTTTCCACTTTGAGCAGAAACTCCATCTTGGTCCTGAGGAACCCTCCCAAGGGAACATTAATCAAAACTGGTAATATGTCCACAACAAGTTTCAGTTTTGACAAACTGGCATTTTCTGACAAAAAAAGTTTAGTCAAGAAGTTCCCAACCAGCTCTAGTCACTTCCTGTGTTCACCAGGAGCAGGTGATATAAAGTGATGCTGCCAACATTTTATGCTTCTAGACTGTAAGAACATGGGTCAAACTCTTGTAGATTTTTAATAAGTTTGCGTGAGCTTGTGAAATACAGTATGACAGTTGCAGTCACCTGTCAGAATGCAAACTCTGATGCATCCTGAACTGTGCTGTCATTGGGTCTGCAAGACCAGAGCTTAGGCCAGGGGGCTGATGCCTGAGCCTGCAGCCCTGCATATAAACTCCCTTGGCCAGCACCATCAAGCTGTCCTGGGAGGAGGGAGGGAAAATGGGTGGCTTCCAAGGAGTCACCACCTGCATTATCTGAAGACACAAGATCATGCAGCTTCCTCCCCTCTGTGCATCCTGGATTAGATGAGCAGCCTGCCCCCACACCGGGAAACGCATTAGATGCTCTCGTGCCTCATGACATGAGACAACTCAGTGTTTCCACCTCTGTCTGTCTACTGCCACGTTTCTTGCTCCATTGTAGTCTGGTTCTATGACAGCAATATCTTTCTCAATGGATTTTAATATGTCATCTGTTGTCCTCCTCTTTTCTATCTTCCACCAAGTGGGATCCAGTCAAGGGCTTGTCTAGGAATATGTTTTGACATCTGTACAACATGCCCAAACCACTTCAACCTTTTATCTCAAATCATTGTCTCTACAGTCTGTTGGCCCGTCACACTGAGCCCTGGTTTACACTACGCGTTAGGTCGATTTTAAAATGAATGTGTCTACACAACCAACCCCGTTCCGTCGACCTAAAGGGCTCTTAAAATTGACTTCTGTACTCCTCCCCAGCGAGGGGAGTACTGCTAAAATTGACCTTGCTTGGTCGAATTTGGGGTAGTGAAGATACAATTCGACAGTATTGGCCTCCGGGAGCTATCCCAGAGTGCTCCAATGTGACCGCTCTGGACAGCACTTTGAACTCCAATGCATTAGCCAGGTACACAGGAAAAGCCCCGGGAAATTTTGAATTTCATTTCCTGTTTGGTCAGCGTGGCGAGTTTAGCAGCACAGGTGACCATGCTGTCCCCCCAGAATCGTAAACGAGCTCCTGCATGGACCGAAAGGGAGACACTGGATCTGATTGCAGTATGGGGAGAAGAATCCGTGCAGGCCAAACTCTGATCAAAAAGAAGAAATGCTAATATATATGCCAAAATCGCACAGGGCATGATGAAGAGAGGCTACAATAGGGACACACAGCAGTGCTGCGTGAAAGTCAAGGAGCTCAGGCAAGCCTACCAAAAGACAAAGGAGACAAATTGTCACTCCGGGTCAGAGCCCCATACATGCTGCTTCTATGATCAGCTGCATGGCATTCTGGGGGGAGACTCTACCACTACCCCACCACTGTCCGTGGATACCTGCAAGGGGGTGAGCCTCACACAACAGGGAGGAGGATTTTGTGGATGAGGAAGAGGAGGAGGAGGAGGAGGAGAATGTGCATCAGGCAAGCGGTGAATCCGTTCTCCCCGGCAGCCAGGACTTTTTCATCACCCTGGAGCAAATACCCTCCCAAGGCGGGATCTCCGACCCTGAAGCTGGTGAGTGCATATTTGTAACTACACTACAGGGTTTAAAAGCAATAGTGTTTAATGTTTGATTTGCCCTGAAGAATTGGGATGCATTTGCGGCCAGTACAGCTACTGGAAAAGTCTGTTAACGTGTCTGGGGATGGAGTGGGAATCCTCCAGGGACATCTCCATGAAGCTCTCCTGGAGGTACTCTGAAAGCCTTTGCAGAAGGTTTCTGGGGAGGGCTGCCTTATTTTGTCCTCCACGGTAGGACACTTTACCACGCCAAGACAGTAGCAAGTAGTCTGAAATCATTGCAGCACAAAGCATGACAGCAAATGGTCCCGGGTTTTGGTCGCATTCAAGCAACATTCGGTCTTTATCTTTCTGGTCAGCCTCAGGATAGTGATATCATTCATGGTCACCTGGTTGAAATAGGGGAATTTTTGTAAGGAAACAGTAAAAGGACCCCGTTCATGCTGGGCTGTTTGTGCTTGGCTAAAAGGGATCATCCCTGAGAATAGCTACACAGTGGGGGGAGGGGTGAAGGGATCATCCCATGGGAATCAAGACTGAGGGGAAAAACAACTAAGGATATTTGGCAGTTTTTCAAAGGGACACTATTAAGGGCCCAAAAGCAAGCTATTCCGCTGGTTAGGAAAGATAGAAAATGTGGCAAAAGACCACCTTGGCTTAACCACGAGATCTTGCATGATCTAAAAAATAAAAAGGAGTCATATAAAAAATGGAAACTAGGACAGATTACAAAGGA